GCCCTCCCGCCTCCCAGAAGGACAGGCCGTCTTCTGAGTTGACGGCGCGCACTGCAAAAGGCCTGCTAGCCGCTTCGATGCCTTTGCAGACTTCCGCTGTCTTTTGTTCGCGGCCTAGGGCTTCGTTCGAAAGCTCCCATGAAGCGCCTGGGACCCGCCTGGAAATGTCGAGGGCCCCCACTGAGATTCCTTTCGTGGGGGTCCCTCCCAGAGCCCTTCAGTGGCCGCAGAATGCGTGGGAGCCTACGCACAGAGACGAAGAGACGCAGCCCGCCGCCCTGCGTCTCTGGGAAGCGGGCGAGCTGTCCTTCACCCGCCCCGCAGCCCAGCTGGTAGAGCGCAGCCCGCAGCTGCCGTCGCCCGGAGGCGCGCCCACAAGGCGGGCAGGCGAACACAGGGGTCCGCAGGCCCTCCGAAAGGGGACCGGCGAAACTGCGAAGTCCAGCTGGCGCTCCGCTGAACGCTCCGACCGCCACGGTCGCTCGCGCCTACCGTCGGTCGGGCGTGGCGCTCGCTCGGAGGATGGCGTGCGAGGGAGATGCGAAGGGGGGGGGGAGGGGGAAGGAGTGGATGCGACGGGGGATTGGGGAATGGAAGTGGGAGGGAGAGGAAGGACGGGCAGGGACGGCACACGGAATGCACCGTGAGCTCTGGCTGCGGAGTGGCCACTCTTTGCATCACACCCGCACATACATACGCAGCTCGTCGCTTCCTCATCCCCCCCCCTCCCCCCCCCCCTCCCCCCCTCCCTCGTCTCGCCCCTTCTTCCGCCGCCGCCCCATCCGCCTCCGTCCTCCCTCCTCGACCCCCCCCTCCCCCTCCCCTCCCCCCCCCCCTCCCCGCGCGCCTTTCCAGAGCGACGAGGGGAATCCCTCTACTCGCGCGCGCACGCGCGAGAAGGGGCCTGGCCTGGCCCGGGGGCCGGGCACGGTCTGACGCTCGCGTCTGGTCGGCGCCGCCCCCCTCTGGGAGGACATGGAGCTGAAGCACTGCTACAAGGCGCTGCCCCTCCCTCAAGCAGTGGCGAAGCGTCCCGTCTCGCCTATAGGCCTACCAAACAATGTGCTAAGACTTGTCTGAGAACCTTATGTGGATTCCACGACATGTTCTTGGAACACTTCTGGCTGGGACTGTCTTGTTTTAACACATCGGGTTTTATGTTATAAGAACACTGTTGTTTTTTCTTCGAACATTTATGGGTTCTAAAAACATCTCGTGGTAGGGCCATAGGAATGCCGGGACGGCCGGTCCCTGCTCAACTCCCTCCTTCTCATGTCTCTCGAGCGTTCGCCGGTGCTGCCGCACGTGTGCACTGGATTGTCGGGAGCGTGCGCGTGCGCGCGTGTGCTGTGGCACCGGCAGGCCCAGAGCGACTCGGGGGCCAACCACCCACGGAGGCAGGAGGAGTGAGGGTACAGCTCCGCAGAGTCGACGAGAATGCAGCGTCGGTATTGTGGGACTGCAGAAAAGGCAGGAGGAATCAGTGCGAGTGTAACTCTGCGCCTCAATAACTAGATGTTTGTGGCCAGCGGCCTGGCCTGAAGTAATGTGTGCATCTTTTTTGCAGCGTAGCGCGTGGCGAGGCTTTCCTGTGAATCTCAGCACGTGCTCGGAACGATGTCCAGGTGTCCATTTCAAAGCAAGCGTCTTCTCCTGGCGAGCCGACGTCACACCAACGATCTCCTTTTGCGCTTCTTCCCACGATCCTGCACGTCGCCGCGTACGGAGCGACCAAGTCCTCCCCGTGCAAGTCCACGCCGAGCGCTGACACACAGTAGTCGATCTCGGCCGTGGAGGGCAGGGCTGGACGTGCCGCTGGACCTGCACGCTGTGTTGCTGGACTTCGGCTGTATGTTGGCTCTTCGTTGTGGCAGGGAGGTACAGGAAAACAGGCAGAGCAACACGGAACCACACAACGAAAGCAGCACGAACAACAGCACGTTGAGGCCCAGCCCTGGTGCGGAGGTCGTGGGGAACTCCATCGCCGTCACGGTGGTGGCCGACCTGCTGAGGGCGCTGCTGCTCGACATCGGGCTGCCGAGGCTGGCGCGGATGGGGCAGGCGCCGCCCTTCGCCCCCCCCCCCCCCCCCCCCCGCCGCCCTTCGCCCCGCCCCCCCCCCCGCCCCCCGCCTCCCGCCGCCCGCTCTCCCTCGGAGTGTTGAAAGGTGAGCAGCTCGCCCAGCTCGGCAAGGAGTGCAGCACACACCTCGACGGTAATCGACTTGCTTATCGTAGGCGTATTCTCAAGGGGCTGTGGCCCAAGGTCTACAGCAAGAGAGAGCAGGCCAGAAGAGCCAGGAAGCAGCGGGTGTAAGTCCAAGTAGAGAGCCGCAACTGGCAACAGTTTGTCTTATAGGGGTTTCCCTATGTCTTCACAGTCGGTCAGTAACCGACACAGTCGCAATATCCGTAACTCCGTAACCCTTCCCAGAGGCAAGCCTGAGACTCCCACGATGTTCACCACCCACCAAAAGCCGCCCCAACCCAGCCCGAAGGCCTCAATTTTGCCCTACGTTTCCAATAGGGGGTCGGGGAGCATTGCGAAAACACACGGAGCCCGTATCCCTCCCCACACCCAACCCGAAATTTCGGGTCTTCGGGTTGGGTTGGGGTGGTTTGGTAGGTCGTCAGATGTTTTTTCTCACTGGCCTCCTGCTCCCTCTCGTCGCAGCTCGCTGTCGTCATTCTGGATCCCTGGTTCCAATCCTTCGCCTTGCCCCATCCGCCCTCCTCCCAGTCCCGCCCCCTCCTCCCCCTCCTCCCCCTCCTCCTCTCAGGAGGGATACATGCATAGACACCGGCACAAACAAACGCTGACGTGTTTTAAGACTATGGGACAGAGAGGGACATAAGAAACCCACACAGCTTGGGACATCCTGGACTCTGTGTCGAGTTCTCTGTGCCTCCCTGGGCCCCTCGACCAGCCCCTTCCTCCACGCTCCCCTCGCTGCCTCCTCCCCTGCCCACCCCCCTTCGTTACAGGCTTGACAACTTCTGCCGTCCTTTGACTCGCGCTGGAGCGGCCGCGAGTTGCTCCAGCTTTCCCTGGAGATCTCTGGATCTACTTGGATTTATCCCGATGTACCTGGATCCTCCTGGATCTGCCCCGATTTCTCTGCATATCTTCCTGGATGGACCTGGCTCGATTCCCACAAGCCGATGGGGCCAAGAGTCGACAAGCCCTTATAGGGACCACCAGACGGGGAGCAGGAGCAGGAGCAGGAGCAGGAGGAGGAGGAGGAGGACGAGGAGGAGCCAAGGGGCGTCGAAATGGGGGCGCAACCTATGTGACATCAGCGGCTTGTGTCCTCCTCCTCCTCCTCCTCCTCCTCCTCCTCCTCCTCCTCCTCCCTCCTCCTCCTCCTCCTCCCTCCTCCTCCTCCTCCTCCTCCTCCCCTCCCCCTCCCCTCCTCCCTCCTCCTCTCCTCCTCCTCTCCTCCTCTCCTCCTCCTCCTCTTCCTCCTCCCCCTCCTCCTCCTCCTCCTCCTCCTCCTCCTCCCCCTCCTCCTCCTCCTCCTCCTCTTCCTCCCCCTCCCCCCGCCGACGGGGCAGGCGCCGCCTCCGGACGAGGGGGGCGCCGTGAGCCCCCGCATGCCCTGCCCGCCGCCCGCGGGCGGCGCGGAGCCGGGCGGGAGCTGAGCGCGGAAAGAGGAAGCCCTCGCCTCGAGTCGGGCAGCGGCGAAGCGTCCTGGCTCGCCTATATCAGGAGGGGAAAGAACACACAGACACAATTAATCGTCGATTCCCCAGAAAATATTGGAAAATATGGGAAGTGGGGGGGAAGACGAAAAGCCAGAAAATATAGGAAAATATGGGGATAGTGTTATTTGTGTGTATTTATTTGTGTGTTCCAGGGCCCCTTCATATAGCCCCACCAAGGAATGTTCTAAGAACCGTCCGTGGTTTGCACGACATGTTCTCAGAACATTTCGGGCTGGGGCTGTCTTGTTTTATCACATCGGGCTTACGTTCTAAGTCAGAACATTGTTTTTGTTATTAGAACAGTTTGGGGTTCTTAGTACATTTTTGTTTAGGTTGTCAGGCCGAACGAAAGGGGGGGATAGGGAAAGGGGGGCTTACGAGATCTGCTGCATGTAGCTGGTTTCGGCCCCGCCACCGGGCCCATTCCTCGATACATGGGCGCCAGGAGGCGCCAGGAAAGTCAGCTACGCGAGCTGATTCTCACCCCCCCCTTCGCTATCCTCCCCTTTCGCCCAGCCCGACTCAAGTCGGAGTGACCTTTGGTGCGGGCACAGAGGGGCCCTCAGATGGCTGGGAACGAAGCTGTAGCAGCGGCTTGCGCGCCCAGGTTTGGTCTCCCCGCGGCCCCCCAAAAGCCGCGCACCAAAGGTCACTCTTACCCAGGGTCACTTTTGCGTGTAGCCGACTCAAGTCGAACGTGCCCCCCTGCAGGAGAAGTATTCCAGAACAGTAAACAATAGTAGGGGAACGCTTTTTCAACAAAAATACATCCTGTGGTGCTGGGTCCTCGTTTTGAAGAGACAGCGCCCCGCGTCTCCTTCCTCCTCCCGCTGCCCACTCCCTCCCCCCACTCTTCCCTCCTCACCACCCCAATTTCGCACACCCTTGTGACTGCGTTCGCATGCGGTTCCACCCCCCATTTCGGCAAACCTCTCACACGCCTCGTGGCCACAAAGGGAACTCCATCGAAGGCCACAGTGGCTGCGTTCGCATGCGGTTCCCCCCCCCCATGTTGGTACACCCCTCACACGTTTCGTGGCCCCATAGGGAGCTCCACAGAAGGCCCCAGTGGCTGCGTTCGCATGCGGTTCCACCCCCATTTCGGCACACCCCTCACACGTTTCGTCGCTCCACAGCGAGCTCGACCAAAGGCTCCAGTGACTGCGTTCGCATACGGTTCCACCCCCATGTCGGTACACCCCTCACACGTTTTGTGGCACCCAGAAGGAACTCCACCGAAGGCCCCAGTGGCTGCGTCCGCATGCGGTTCCGCCCACATTTCGGCGCACCCCTCACACGTTTCGCGGCCCCACAGGGAGCTCCACCAAAGGCTCCAGTGACTGCGTTCGGATACGGTTCCCCCCCGATTTCGGCACACCCCTCACACGTTTCGTGACCCCAGAGGGAGCTCCGCCGAAGGCTCCAGTGGCTGCGTTCGCATGCGGTTCCACCCCAATTATGGCACACCTCTCACGCGCTTCGTGGCCCCATAGGGAGCTCCACCGAAGGCCCCAGCGGCTACGTTCGCATGCGGTTCCACCCTCATTTCGGCATACCCCTCACACGTTTTGCGCTCCCATAGGGAGCTCCGCCAAAGGCCCCAGTGGCTGCGTTCGCATGTGGTTCCACCGCCATTTCGGCACGCCCCTCGGACGTTTTGTGGCCCCCGTGGGGAGGCCCACCGAAGGCCCCAGCAGCTGCGTTCGCATGCGGCTAGGGAGCTCCACCGAAGGAAATACTCACAACTCCAGTATTCACAATTGCATATGGTTGGGTCCTTCGCCAGGATAATTTGTTTTTCTGTCCAGAATCCGCCTGCAGGGGGGCATTCCCGACCTAGCCCTCGCCCCCGTCCTCGTCCTAAAATCCTCCCTGGCCCTCTTGGCTCGAGAGGCTTACCGCAGGCTCGCGTCGTGGCCACCGGCGGCGACCCCGCCGCCGGCGTTCAACGTTGAGCGCCGCCGGCGACCCAGAATCGGCCGATGTTGAGCGATCTGACGTTTCGGGAACGTCCGATTGTTCAAGGCTGAACGATCCCCGCGGTGTCAGAAACCAGCGCCGAAGTCGGCACGACACGAACCTGCCGCACGCCGTTCCGCCGACCCCCATTGAGAGGGCTCCTCGGGCAGAGGCTCTCGCGGAGCAGTCGCTGGGCCTTCTTCGGGGCATCGTGGGCTCTCCCAGCCCGTGCCATCTCGTGATCCGTTGGGGCCATCTTGGGCCTGGCGAGAGCTGAGCACTGAAAGAGAGCCCTCGTCCTAACTCTCGTTCCAATCCTCCGCGGCCCTCTGCAAGAATCGAAGAAGGGAAGACTGCATACTGATAAGCTTTCGGAGGCCCGAGAGTTGATGCTCATGCAGGGTTTGCTTCTTCTGCAGTCTTCCCCAGTATTCCCTCTACGGAAGAGCAGTCGTGCCCTGGCCCCCAGCCTCAGACACCAGGCACCATGAGGCCCCAGGCCATAGACCCTGTAATTACCCCGGATATCTGGCCAGATGGTCGGACTGTTCGGTGGTTTGGTGACTTCGTGGGCACACGGTCGGATGCCCAGGTCGTCGTTGCCAAGGTGAAATACATACCTCCATCTGTATCACACCTACCTTCTGCTGTTACACATGCTCCCGCTGTTGCGTGACCACCTGGGCCAGCACGGGAATGGAAAGAGCGGATTGAGGAACTGCCCCGAGATGGTTCACGGCACCTTTCGCTCTTCGGAGCCTTGGTTTCAGATTTGTACGTCACCGCTTGTTGATGGGAGCCCTGGTGTCCAGAAGTTTTCGCGTCAGCCCCAGGATAGTTCAAGGAGGCCCCGAAGGAAGCACGCCGGTTCCTGCGTTCATCGTGCGGGGCAGCCCAGTCCCTACACCCTGGGGCTGTCTTTTGCCCTCCACCTCCGTCCTGCTACCTGACGAGATTTAAAACGACGATCATCATCAGCAGCATCATCAGCATCATCATCAGCATCGTCATGGTCATTGTCATCGTCATCATCATCGTCATCGTCATCCTCATCGGCATCATCATCAGCATCATCAACGTCATCAGCATCACCATCATCATCAGCATCATCATGATCATCATCGGCGGCATCACCATCACCATCATTACCATCAGAATCATCATCTTCATCATCATCATCATCATCATCATCATCATCATCATCACAGTCGTCGTCATCATCAGCAACATCATCATCAGCATCATCATCCTCTCCTCCGGTGTCGTCGTCACATCATCAGCAACTACACCTTGTGGTCACCATCGTCATCATCCCTGCTCCCCCACCTACCCGCGTGCTGCCTTCTTGACCCGCAAACGGCGAAGAATGGTCGAAGGACTTCAGCAAATTGTCCTGAATGCGCAGACTTCTTAGAGTCCTTGTGTGGCGCTCGTCGGCCATCTTGGGGCTCTCTTGGGCCGTCCTGGGGCCCTGTTGGGGACGGAGGGCAGCCCAGTCCCTACACCCCGGCACACCCGTCCCTACACCCAGGGGCTGTCTTTTGGTTTTTGCCTACGTCCATCTCCCTGACGATGTTTCCAACGACGACAAGTTGTACCACCATCATCTTCATCATCAGCAGTATCAGCTGCAGCATCATCAATTTCCTCATCATCACCATCATCAGCATCATCATCACCATCAGCATCATCAGCAGCATCGCTTCCATCATCGCTATCGTCGCCGTTATCATCATCATCACCACCATCATCATCACCATCATCACCAACATCAGCATCATTACCCGCACTGTCGTTATCATGATCATCATGATCGTCATCATCACCATCATCATCATCAGCCGCATCAGCATCACCAACATTATCATCATCATCACCATCATCACCATCAGGAGCAGCTTCACCATCACCAGCATCAGCATCAACAGCATCGTCATGCTCTCTCTCTTATTCTCCCCTCCCCTGTGCGCCTCGCGGTCGATGCAGCTGCTTGGCTCACGTTTCCCTCGCGGCCCCCTTCGGCGGGCGCCTTCTGCTGTCGCGGGCTCGGGCGGCCATTGAGGGGGCGGGCGAAGCGCTGTTCCGAGGTCTGCGAACCGCGCTCTACGAGCTGCTTGTAGGCCACGTCTTCGGGGTCGTCGTGGTCCGCGCAGGCCGACCGATGCGGCGGTGGGCGGTGCCCCTCTGCCGTCTGGGGCGCGGCCTGTCCCACCGCCTGCCTGGGGCTGGCGGTGGACCTGACCAGCGGGGTCACCCCTGTGCTGGTCTCGGCCCTGGGGGGCTCCGTCGCGGCGCGCAGCGCGCCCTGGCCTACGGCCGAGGAGCGCGGGCCGACGAGCGCGTGCGGGCCTTGCGCAGGGCCCGCCTGCTGCCGCGCCCCGAAGCTACGTAGTCCTCTCCGGTGGCCCTCGGGTCACTCGGTGCGCAGTGCCGGCAATGGCAGCCGCCGCTGTGGAGGACGGGGGGCCTGCCATCCCCGAAGGGCCTGCATGGCCCGACCTTCACCCGTTCACTGCGCCGTCGACCACCAGGTACGACCGATGGCGCTTGGACGAGGGCGAGGCAGGCTACGCCGCGATCCTTCAGGCCTCGCGGCCTGGTGGTATCTTGCTGGCGCTGCCTGGGTCCTTCCGCTCGGCCGAGACCCACAGTCTGGCGGAAGCGGAAGGTATCACGGGGCTGGTTGGATTCTTTCAAGTGGTCAGTTGGCTCTTGCTCGGCGCGGCGTCTGGGCCGCTGAGAACCACCGCGTCCGTGCTGGTGGTGGACCCAGAGGTCCCGGAGATGGATCTCGAGGCCGTCACGCGGCGTCGCACCCTTTGCTGGGAACGCTTGGCACCCCCCTCCACCCCGCGGTCCAGCCAGGGGCCGACGGAGGGGCTGCCGGGGCCACAACGCGCGGCATCGCGCGTCGCAGGGAATGGCAGCAGGTATTGGCTCAGCGCGGGCCCGAGGTTCGGTCGCTCCTGAAGGCGAACCTCGCCCGTGCCCTG